AGTTATAAAGATATAGAGATTTGGTCTCTAAATCTTGCCAAGAAGTAGGTATCTCTATACCTGTAAAAGCTAGGGCTTTAATATTTCAATAGTAGGCTAGAAATGGCTAGGAAAACCTAACTCTAAGTTTTCAGACTATATTATCCAGTGGTTGTTGAGATATTGATATCGAATTTTGTCGAATTTACTATTTTAAACAAAACGACGGCAGATTGACCTCCGTTTTTGGAGGTTTGTGACGCCGTTTTTGGAGGTAAATCTGCCATGCTCCAGCGCCAATGAGAACTCCCCTTACTCTCCGACATGGATCTCGCTGACATGGATCTGAGCCATGCCCCACCAACTTGAGTCCCTGTCGGCCTGTCCTTTTTTAGCTCCGCTCTGACCTAGAGCATGCGGCGTCCAGTTTTCAGTATTTCGTTTTCCAACTCTGCTTTCTTTTGCTCATCCTCTGGCGTCTAAAGGGCCAGAAGAAGGGCCAGAAATGGCCCTCCAACAGAGTCCGCGACGTTTACTTAAAATGGCGTCGCCCTCTTTCTCTTCGCGTTCTTCGAATCGTTGTCTTCTATTCTCCCTACTGTGTTTACTACACAACCTCAGACTATTGTTTGCTCTAAAGATCTTGCATCTCTTCCCTTTCGTTCTCGCATACGCCTTCGCCTCTCCGGCACTTTCACCGGCGTTGGAGCCTGCGAATAGGACTCCATGCGTCGCCGTACCGTGGACGATTCCTGGTCTGATGGAGACAGTACCAGCTCGCAATCGGACGACTCGTCGACATACCGAACGAATCTGAACGATACGCCGGATACATCAGGCTGTGACTCGGACGCAGACCTTAACAGGGAGTCAGCATGGCTACTCGAAGGCAATGAGCATCCACCAGAGTACTACAACCAGCTGCTGGATAACTTTGACGACTCGGAGTATACCAAGGAGGATTATAGCGATGGCACTACCGTCCTCCTCGACCGAAGCGAAGCGCAGTGGAACCAGTAAGTAGCATGACCTTCTCTTCTATATTGCTATTTCTCTGACGCTGGATAGATACTGTGCCTATACCGGAAAAGACCCCAAGAAGATGTACCAGGCCATATCAATCAACGTATTGCACAACTTTTTCCACTGGCTGCTCAGCCAGCGCCGCGGGAAGGAGGGACGGCGACTTCGAGGGACCAAACTGGCCAGTTCTTTGGGCACATACTGGAAAATCTATCGGCTTACGTACGAGCGAGCCACTGGCGATAAGATCAACGGTCCGACGACGCGTGGGATGCATAAGGTATGAAAACTCGTGCCGTAGTATCAACGGTCCATTTTAACGCTGTCTTTCAGGTGCTGCGAAAGCTGGCGAAGAGACACGGATTGAAAAAGGGAGCCAGGGAAAAGCCGTGCATGTATGTCGAGGATCTGAAAGAAGCGCTACGGACAAATTTGTGCGCAGTTGAAAAAAAATACTCACATGGGAGAATCCGGATTGGGGTGCAGCTTTTCATGCAAATTGGGGGCTTTACGGCTAATCGTCCTGGGGCATTACTTAACCTCTGCTACCGACATATTAGAGTCACATTGCTGCGAGACCCCGAAGGTGGGCCGAATCGGATTCTCCTTGAATTTTCATTCGAGTTTACAAAGAGCTTCCTTGGTATCAAGGACATGTACGTTAAATTTCCTTACATTTCCTCCCTTACAGCTACTCTTCCTTTTATACATCCTACTTACTAGTACACAGAAACACATTTCCGATCCCAGAGATCATATATGATCCGTCTTTAATCTACAGCCCGCACGTGCTCCTGCTAGGTCTGATTTTCGACGATCAAGCTTTCGCAGCACCAAGCCTTACCTCTCCGGATCAGCTCAGCATGCTGGATATCGAGCCAGGCCAGAACCAACTACTATTACCGCTACGATCTGACCTAGACGATGTTCCGATTTTCCGCAAAGCTATTAAAACGCCAGAAGGATGGGAGATATCAAAGGACGAGCCTCTAGAGTACTCTACCATCCGGTATGCGATGAAGAGAGTCGGCGAGCTCACTGGGTTCAAGTTGCTTCTGCGCCCATACGCACTCCGATATGGTGCTGGAAAAGCTTTCAACGAAAACGGTATGTGGCCTACCCTTATGCTCTATTTGGCTGATGCGAGTGGTGTTCTTCTGTAGGCAACGTCAGCGAGGCGCTCCAAAACCTGATGATGCAGCACGGTGATCCGCGGACGTTCTTAAAACACTACCTCCATCGACGAGTAACAGTAGATGCGGCTGCAATTGTGCGGCGAGTCCAGCCCCAAGACGCAGTCATGCAAGCTGCTTGTAACATGAGCCGATGGATTGACCCGAATCGACCCTGGGGCCTTACCGCAGAGCAGGCAGACTCGGTGAACCAAACCCCTCTTATTCGTTCCCTTCTGCAGGATCGGGACAGACTGAAGCGCCGCTACAGTCCGAAGCATATTAAGTACATTGAACACAATAAGAGGATTATAAGTGAAAAGCAACGCCTTCGGGCATCACTTCTTGCAGATATTCAAGAGAAGTATGAGAAGGAAGGCCCAGTACGAGCGATTGAGCAGCAGCTGTCGGGCGTGAAGATCAGTCAAAAGCCAATAGTTGCGTCCTATTTCACGACCAAGACTCTTCCCGAACAGAAGCGATTGATCGAGGCGCTCATACTTGCCCCACCAGGGAACACTCTCGAGGAGGAGTTCCGGCGGCGGAACGAGGCCATCATCGCCGTTACAGAGTACTGCAAAATCGAAGAAGGCGATACACCCAAAAGCCAAACGCGGCCTCGAGGCCAAATGAAGCGCCTGTCGATCAAAAATGAGGATGAAGACCGATCAGCAGCGCCCGTTAAGCTAATAGAGAAAGAAATAGAGGCCGCTATGCTATCGGTCTTTAAAGATAAGCGACCGACGATATGTTTTCTTTGTCTTGGTAACGTCGCTTTACCGCTTGCTATACGAGTCTATTCCTTTAGCACTTCCTCTGATCTTGGCAAGCACTTTCGGCGGAAACACCTGTCTAATATTACGGACGGCGAGAGGATTGACTGCAGGGTTTGCAAGATGTCACTCAGCTGCAAGATGCACTTGCAAAGCCACGCGAAGAAGATACATGGGACGGTGTCGTGAACTTCGATACTGAGTTATCGAATCTTGGTACGCTGGTTGAAGCGGCCGCGTTACGATTGAGGAACAGTCATTTCTTTGTCACTGTTGGGTCCGATTCGAAGTATATTCGCGACTTTGCAGCTAGTCTCTTATTTACGTTTCTAATGACAGTAAGGTTCATCTGGTGTACGAAATCCTTTGATCAAGGGAATCTACATGCGAGACGTGATTGGATTCGAAAGGTGTGATAGAGTCAGAGAGATGGTAGCTTCTGTAGCGACAAGGTTTGGGGAAAATCTACTTTAAAGTGAGCCGTTAAGGATGTCTACGAAGTCACATAACTTGATGAAGCCGGTAGCTCCATTAGAAACAATTCGGAGATAATTCCCAGCTAACCAGAGATAACTCTCCATAATTTATAGAATAGGGTTGTACTACTGCGCTATTGTGCTAAGTTACTGTAAGGAAATAGTGGCGTAGATGAGAGATTATGGTGATATCATCCTCGTTCGTACTATTGATGGAAACTGTTCCAGACATCACTGCCACCCTACCCTGTAATTCCGACTCCTGCAGTGCTTCTCCTATGAGGATGTTTTTGACATATACCCAAGGTTGCCACTTAAACGACCAAACACAAGGGAACCGCATTCGCACCAAACATATCAAGATGTCTTTATCAACCACCATGCCCATCACAAGCATGTCCTAACCGAAAATATATGCGCTGATACTATCGGGTGAGACCAGAAATGGATTCAGGGCGGCAGTTCACACGGACTCCGGGGTGTCTGAAAAGTGAAAACGGATACGTTTGATTCCGGGTGGGGCCAGAAATGGACTACTCAAGGGAATTGCAAGGGCCTATTGCCGAAACTTTTTAGATCCCCTTCCGGCTCCCAGAACTAGGGAATCTTGTTTAATGATGTTTTGGGACAAAATCTGTACCCAACAGCAAGCAAGGAAACACAGTCTACATGACTGATATTGGCCTGATCCGTGTTATTATGCGCCGCTACCCCGTCGGCACAAGCGCAGTACTGTTGCAACTCCAGGCAGGGCCAAGGTAATCCTCTGCCGCTCCCCGGCAACGCAAGAAATTCGCTAACCAGTCTCCCGCAAACACAGCTTCAACCTCGTCTACTTCGAGCGGAACGAGAAGCTCTGTGTTCTTCCCAGTTCTAGTACCCGAATTTAGCAGGCAGCTCATTCACCATCGCTACGTTTGCGAGCGATTTAAAAGAGACGGACACTTACTTCGTCATACGCCATGATAGTGCCTGCTACCGCTATCAGCTCGACTATGAAGCAAGAAAAGACTATGGCCATAGAGTGCCTCGAGAGGAGCTCTCGAAGTTGAAACCCCCGACAACCTCATTAATCACTCCAGTGCAGTAGAAAGGATTCAGTCTGTTAGCTTGGCGTCCTCTCGTCTAAAAGAGAAGAGCCGGGCGCTTTCGTATACCAAATCCATCACTCTCAAAACCCCGCCGTTGCTCTGTTTGATTGCGTTGGTTGACAACTCTGCCCAGCCAGCCTCTGGCCGTTGGTCCTCTACAACACGGTCCGTCGCATAAGACGCCTTTACCTAATTACAAACCTGGCTGATCGGCATTTCTATCTAGAAAGAGCCTGGTACCCGTCATGCTTCTATAAAATGCTCATCAAATCTCTAAACTCCGACAATTCCAGCGGTAAGTTGCCGGCCTCGCTTCAATGCCTTAGCGATAACGGATACGGCTACGGGAAGTGGCCACGGCAAAGGGCCTGCTTTCAATACAGTAAGATGGTTTTCTAATAAATTTATGCCAGTTCCCGCCGCTCGCCGAAAAATGCATTTCCTATTTCGGAGTTACCAGCCTCAGTGTATAAACGGATCACCTCACCGCTACTGCGCCCTCCCTTTCGCTAGGCGACGGAATTGGTCATTCTAGAGATATGTGCCGATATTTCAAATTAATAGAACAAACGGAGCAACGCACAATCCCGTTTTTCACTCTGCTTCCGTTCAACACTTTTGGAGGCTAGGCACGAATCTAGCTTGTAACCCCATGATATAAAGGTCACCTGCTGGAAGGAAGAAAAATTGTCATGGCGTAAATAGGAGCTTTCATGATTCTTAGCCGTTGACCTAATCGGCCTCGTTTTTCCTGATCAGTTTCTACATTTGATTTTCAATCACCTCAATATGAGGGGCCCGGGGTCAAAAATCAGCGGTATGGCCAATCCGGCGCTCCTGAACAAAGTTGACAAACTGTTTGCGAGCGGAGTTGGAGAATACGTATCTCTCCCGCAGATTGTGGCCGTCGGAGACCAGTCTAGCGGTAAAAGTTCTGTTCTTGAAGCATTAACCGGTCTGCCTTTCCCAAGGGACAGTGATCTCTGCACCCGGTTCGCGACGCAGATTAGGTTCTGCCGGGCACCAAAAGCGGAGATTTCGATATCCATCATTCCGGCCAGCGGCAGCAGCGGGGAGCATGCCGAAGCATGCACCGCCTGGTCAAAGCCCGGCCTCGAGGACCTGGACCCAGAGACATTTTCTAGCATCATGAGAGAGGTTCGCATATCCATCTGGGTTCCTTCTATGGCTAACGGCTTTAGGCACATACAATTATGGGGATTGATGGCGGAGTCAGCTTTTCCGACGACGTGCTCTGTATTGAAATATACGGGCCGGATCAAGAGCACTTTTCGGTTGTTGATGTCCCCGGAATCTTCAGAAAGACCACCGAAGGGGTCACAACCAAAGCGGACAAGATTAAGGTCGAAGCGATGGTCCGGCGATATATGGAGAATCCCCGGTCTATCATTCTGGCGGTCGTTCCTGCCAACGTGGATATTGCAACACAAGAGATCCTGACGATGGCTGAGGAAGTGGATCCAGATGGGCACAGGACTCTTGGGGTCCTGACCAAGCCGGATTTGGTTGACAGAGGCGCTGAATCGGCGGTGATTTCCCTTATTGAGGGCAAAAGGCACAAACTGACCTTAGGATGGTGCGTTGTTCGCAATCCTGGGCAAAGTCAGCTAGAGAGTTCATCTGTTAACCGAGAAGCAATCGAGACGGCCTTCTTCCAGGATAACCCTCCTTGGAATACTCTTGAGAAGGACAGGGTTGGCATCGGTTCTTTGCGGCTTCGGCTGCAGGAGATTCTCGCCAGTAACATCCGTCGCGAGTTTCCAAAGGTGCGTAGAGCCCCCGGCATTCTTAAGCGATGCTAATCCTGCCGCAGGTCAAAAATGAGATCCATAAGAGGCTCAATGCCTGCAGGGAGCGTCTCGACAACCTCGGCGCAAAAAGAGAAACGGCGGATGAGCAGCGTCAATACCTTTTGGGTATAAGTGAACGGTTCCAAAAATTCGTGATGTCCGCACTCTCTGCAGATTACGTGGGCGATGATTGGTTTGATAAGTCCCCAAACCTTCGTTTCGCTACTGCGGTCGTGAACCGCAATGAGGCTCTCGCGAAAATGTTGGCACAATACGGTCACTCGTATACTTTCGACGGAGAACAACGCGTTAGCTCAGAGGACGGAGATGAAGGCGACAGCTCAGAGGACAGAGATGACAATGACGAAGAAATCGAACGGAAACTTTCAGTCCGAGCCCAGAAGGACCCCGAAGGCTTGGAAGAGCTGCCGCCTGGAGAGAACATGATAGTTAGCCACACTCCTCGGGGTATTTTCAAGTGGCTATCAAAGGTCTACGGGACGTCGCGTGGTTTTGAGCTCGGTACCTTTGATGGTTCGCTTCTTGCTATGACGATGAAGACTCAGTCGTCTAAATGGGAGCCAATCGCCGTCGGCTACATCAAGGATATAATCAGTATGGCGCATACGTTCGTCCGTGACTTATTGCATCTAGTCTGCCCGGATCTCCGCGTGTGGGAAGGTCTCATGTCGGTCCTTATGGATGAGCTCTTGGCGAAGTATAAAGCTGCGCTCGACTATGTCCATTTCCTCCTCCGTGTCGAGAGGGCCGGAACGCCAGCGACTCTGAATCACTACTTCGCCGATAACCTGGAAAAGTGGTAAGTCTATTTATCCCGTTTTTGCATCAGCCGCTTATGATTTGCCAGCCGCCAAAAGCGCATTCGCGCTAAGCTGCAAAAGAAAGCCTTTAAAGATATCGACGGAAAACTTGTTGTCAGCCTTGAAGACATTGTACAGAACCATCACACGTCTAATGTCGAGCATGTCGTCCAAGAGATCCATGACATCCTCCAATCCTACTATAAAGTCGCCCGCAAGCGCTTCGCGGACAATATATGCATGCAAGCAGCGGACCATCATATCGTGACAGGGCCTTGCTCCCCGCTGAGACTCTTTGGCACGGCTTTCGTGAGCCACCTGTCCGATGAACAGTTGATGGATATCGCCGGGGAAGATGCAGCCTCACGAATGAAGCGTGCTACTCTGACTAAGGAGATTGCAGGTCTTGAAGCTGGAAAGAAAATTGTATCCTAATTCGGATTGTATGTACTGGAGCTAGGCAGTTCGGTGTTTGAGTAAGTTCGCATTACCATATAACTACCGTCTTTTGGTACAGTAAGTGGACATAAGTCTGTGCACACCTCCCAAAATCTTGAAAATGGCCCACCAGCCACCTTATCTTGCGAAACGCTCAAAAACGTAGAGAAACTCATAGATATTAAAAAAGTTTTATTTCCAAATCGGGTAATACCTAATACTTCGTATGCCACCCTTTTGCTCTAATTACAGCCTGCAGACGTCGCGGAATTGAATCAATTAGTCGCTGGATCGTCTCCTGAGGGATCGCCCACCACGCCTCCCTTAACGCCTTATTCATGGCCTCCCGTGCCTCCTGCGATGAACCCATCTGTTTTAATTCGGGGTGGAGCTTAAGGACTTTCGATTTCAGCAGGTGCCACATATGCTCGATGGGGTTAAGGTCTGGAGAATTAGCCGGCCAATCGATCACCCAGACACGCTTACCACCCGCCCCTTTCTCGTAAGAGCACTCGTCTGTGGAGTGGACCCGAGAGAAGTAGAATTGCTCGTTCTCTCGGGCGAATTTCAGCCGGTTTTTCGCGTGTTGGGCCGTTAGATAGGGCCACTGGCGTGCCACCCACTTCCTAATTCCCTCGCATACATTTGCGGTCAGGTCGCAAGCCTTTCCATCCTGGCTATGTTCTTCGGTCTGACAATCCTCTTCTGATGCTAGGTGCGATAGAGGCTACAGAGCAGGATTCACATGTATCGTGATCTCCTTTGGGCAGACAGGGCAAGGGAAAGTTAAGACTAGCTTCGAGGGCATCTTAAAGGGACAATGCAGCTTTGGCCAGTCATCTATTATGTATTTATCTACTACTCTAGGCTCTCCGTTTCAGGGTAACAGTATGTAAACGTCGGCTCCGAGATACACTTTAAGAGCCATGCAGCGCAGGTTCACAATATATCCTTGTGGATATCACTGTCTCATCCACCCAGAGAAGGCTGGGTGAGTCATCCATGTGGTACTACTATAATGTTTGCTTGTTGATCTGAAGACCGATCAAACATAGAATTGCAAAATAATACATGTAAAACAGTCTCCCTTCTTTCTTTGCTCTCTCCTCTTTATATTTGGTTTGTCTAGGAAATGGCATTCAGCTTCTTTCCAGAATGTATCAAAGATAAAGTAAACTTACACACTTTTCTGTTTTGCTGTCTTATTCTTAATCCTGTCGCTTGCTTTTCCGCCATGCCTGTTTCAACAAGTTGGACGAGTTAGACAATAACTCACTCATTAACCTCATCAGAATATCCAACTTCGATAGGCTGCTGGATGGAGGATTGTTGTCTGTTGGAGTCACTTCTGGCGCAAGCAGGCTGCACTGTTTGACTCCGAAAGAGATTACATATGTCAAAGAAAATGAGACATGCACGTCCGCGTTTAGGTCGCACGACAATCAAGTCTTGCCGCTTCCAGATGATTTATAACTGTTGCATCAACTACTCCAGATCTTAACTTGAAGGGCAGTTGGAGCTGACACATAATGGAGGTTAATTGCGAGACCTGCGATCGATCTTTCGGTAGCAAGGAGGCCCTAGAGCAGCATCTACGCTACTCCTCGGCTCATCAACAGGCCCCAGAAACTCCTTTAGATGCGTTCTTCCGGTCTTTCCCAACCTTTAGTTATGACCCTTCCCTACCACCAGCCACATCCTACGCCAATTTGCGAAAACACAAAGGTTGGCGGCCCGGCGATGCCTCGAACGATGCTTGGAGGAGATACCAAGATGCATTAGAAGGCGAATTGCGGATGTGGTATGGAGCAGAGGACGACTTGACTGCGTGGCATGCTCTTTGTCGTGCCATTGGCATCGAACCGCTTCCACGAACATGTGGGCAATGTGAAAGGGTATAGATCCGTCATTCCACGAAACTTGGCGCCCTTCTGCTAACTCAGGGTATAATTAGGCTGTACGAAGGACACATGTCAATATTGTTGATTTGATTGAGTGGGGACGGAAACGTGGAGACAAAGAGAAAAGAGTGCAGACATTTCAGACGGTGGCAGAGCTGCGAGAGTATTGCAGCAGAACGGGCAAGATATTCAGCAACACAACCGATCGGAAAGACAGCAACGTTGTTCTGAGACATCTACTTCGGAAGCTCTTAGGAGAGAGTTCCTAGAATAACAGAGAGAATAATGAGACGTCAGACAACGCGTCTTTGAGGCTGGTTAAGTCGTTTCGTCCGGGAACAGAGGAACAGGGCAACCATACCTATGTAATTTTTGTGTGGAACGGCTCTCAAATAGTAAGCAGTAGCTACAGAGCACATTGAGCGTAGTACTCTAAATCTACCATGTGTGTATGTTTTCTGCTGCTCAGAAATCGGAGTACCATGGATTTGTTCCAGGCCGCAGGGCCCTGGCATATGGATATGGATATCCTGGTGGGCCTGGTACCTTAGGCGTCCTGGCACAGGTGTCTTGGTACCACCCCTTCAAGCTTTCACAGCCATCCTGCCGAAATCAGCGCACCGAGAACCTGTTCCACGTTGGCGATAATTACCACTTTTGAGCTGGAGCTGCGTAGCTATACCGTTAGACGTCCGCTCGCTAGTCCCCTAATACCGTCTGCACATGACCTTGCCAACCTCGCAACCTCGCAAACCGTCTCCGCAGTCATGCCACCGTTCTAAGTCGAACATGTTTTTCAAGCCTATACGGCTCGCAGTCTTCCCTAGAACTCGAAGTCGGCTTCGGCACAGACAATGAGACGCAGGTATTTGAACCCAACTCCGATAGGTACAGAGATCTACCAGGGTCCGACCTACCTACCTGCTCTGACCAATGACAGATCTCTATCGGACGTGCCCAGATGAGTGTCGCGTGTGAGGTGGACATGCAAACTTCCAGCAATCCAGCTGTGAGGCTGCGAAGCCTGCCAAGCTAAGCTGTGACGGTGCCAAGCTGCACAGTGGTGATGATACTGCTGTTGTTGCTGTTGCAAATGCCTCTTGTCAGAACATCTTCCCGATCTTTCAATGTCACCTTTTCGAGCTGGAGCGAATGATCCTACGAAGACTATTACGCTCTACGAGTTTCTGCATGGATCTCGCAGGCCGTTTCGATGTTGGATTAATCATGGGCTCGGAGGCTCCAGTAAGGTCCCGACTTGTTTTGCATGAACGTCATGGCTAATAACCTTTCCCCAGGGTCAGACTAAAGCCGAGGCGGCCAGAATCGAGCTCGATCGCATAACCAGAATCAGAGATGCCTTGAACGATAAGAAATTGGTGGTTGTCATTGGGGCTGGAGTGACACTGAATGTAACAGCGTCTCAGTCGGGTAAAACACTGGATCGGCTGTCTTGGCTAGGATTGATACGACATGGCTTGAACTACCTCGTTAAAGACGACTATATCGACAAGGACGACTACAGACTCCGATATGCACAAGAGATACTCGATTTATATCCCGGAGATCTATTAGAGGCAGCACGAGTATTAAGAGCTCTCTTGGACGAAGCCCGTCAGTTCCCTACTTGGTTGAAAGCTGTTTTTGGAGGACTTTCCAAAGAAGTGAGGCATCGTGCCTTGCTGGATGTATTGAAGTCTCTCCACGAGAGAGGAGCGATGCTGCTAACAACAAACTACGATGATCTCTTCGAAGAAGGTTACTGCGAATTGCGCCGTATCAGCCGGTCGAATCATGACGATCTCCTAAAGTTCCAAAGTGGAGAATTGCGCGGTATCCTTCATGTGCACGGCAGCTATCATGATCCCGCAGACGTCATCATAGATGCAACGGACTACGAGAACGTTCAAAGCTCGGACATCAAGACTGTGCTGAGGACGCTCTGGAATACTTACACGATTCTGTTTGTTGGCTGTGGATCCGGATTAGAAGACCCAAACTTCGGCGCACTATTGCAATGGGCATGCGACGACCAGAAGAATATCTCAAATCGACATTGTGTGTTGCTCAAGACCGGAGATCCTTTCAACCCCAAACCTCTGGTGCGGTTAAAATTTGGCCCGAACTATTCAGATCTAGTGCCTTACTTGCAGCGGCTACTTAGTGAACAGGAAACAGACGATCCAATAGACGCCACGGCCCCATCTGGAGCGGAGGCAAATTGGTGGATTGGGAATGGAAAAGCCCAAACATTCCTCCGAGCGCTAGGGAAGCTTTGGAATGCTACGAGCTGTGGAATGGCACGGGAAAGATGAACTTTGGAATGCTACGAGCTGCGGAATGCTACGGAAGGATGAGCTTTGGGAACACTACGAGCTTTGGAGCGTTACGGGAGAGATGAGTTTGGAATGCTCCGAGCTTTGCTCTGAAGGCACACAGAGGATTGGAGGGCAAGAAAACTGGTAACCTCCCCCCCGGCGTGATGGAACACCCGCCGTGCTGGAACGAAATCGAGCTACTTTGACTTCAAACCAGCCCAAAGTGTACAGGCATACTGTAATTCTTATAATTTCATATTCGCTAGATTTTTCAGTCACTTTAAAATATGCGAGACTTTGTGAAACACAAAATTACAACTGCCTGGTTGCCGGTGAGCCGATCGTAACGCGGCACTCGGAATACAACTTCAACGGCGAGACCGTTCTCTCTATGCTACAACGCTACCACCATCGTATTCTCTTTTCAAAATTTTGTAAAATGGACAAACTCACCTTATATTATCCTTTTATCGTGTACAAATCTTTTGTCTATATGTTCGTGTTGTGTTAGAAACGATTTCAAATCTTTCCATCACGCCGGCCAGTACCTGTGGCCGATCAAACTTCTGCTTCAAAGTTCAAACAGTCACGGGAAGATGGCATAAGTTATTTTTCCGTAAACCGGCGCTGTCGAGTCACTCTCTAATTCTCTAGGCATCTAGCCTTGGCAGACCAACGCCTTTTAGTTGGGACAGAACTCCCCTGTGTGGATGATCTCGCGTCCAAGCCCAGCAACAACACGAAGCCAGCAACATCACTTCCCACCACAGCTACTGAGGTGCAGTACAGTACGCATGACGAATGCCCAAAGATTTGAATCGCCTTAGAATAATGTTTGGTTGCACCTCCTGTGCCTTCACGCTACAATCACCACCAAATTCTACTTCCATAACATCAGGGTTGCATTCGCAAGAATCTAAGATTGACGAACTTGCGAAACTCCAGCAGATTCCAGAAGACATTGCGATATGTAATCCGATACGAGATTTATTCGTCCGCTAAAGTCAATCAAAGTCGTCCTTCAGCCTTCAACCACACCAATGCTAGCCGCGGGCGACAGCATCCTGTCGCTATCTACTTTCCTCGATTTTGCGAGCTTTTCGTCGCTGTGCGAGCCCGTCGTTGTTCCGCGTTCCAATCCGCCAACATATTTGAGGAAGAACGGAAGAGATGATAACTGACTCCCAAAGCCTGTCTTTGGAGCTGTACACACTCCTTCATTAGACTGATAACTCAGCATCCTGACCCTGCGCTCCGTACGTCGACGCCAGGTTGCCATGATGATCAGCGTGTGTGGATGCTCCGCGCCAAGCACACTCTTTTCCCTCCATCACTCGCACGTCCAGCTTTTCAGCCTTGGTTCCGGATGTCGACGCCAGATTGGCCATGCTGGCTACCGTGTGTGGATACTCCACACCAAGCACCCTCGTTCTCGTCTCTAGAAACCAATACACCCTGGTTCAGGCCTGTTAGACAGAATTTGGTAGAGAGAAGCGAGTGCCCTCTCCGGTCTTAGTCGATTGGGATGGTCTTCTGCTGCAGTTTCACGTCGGCCTCGCATCGTACCTTTGGGTCGTAGATTGCTGAATTGAACTGCATCCCGCCATGCCCTTGTTAATGCGGCAGGCCGACACCGCCGGAATTGGAACTGGACCTTAGCGACAAGCACGGACAAAATGCCGGAATGTGCATTTGGTGTTAGTACAGTTGGTATCATACCGACAAGCACGCACAGAATGCCGGAATGTGCATTTGGTGTTCGTGCAGTTGGTATCATACCGACAAGCACGCACAGAATGCCGGAATGTGCATTCGATCTTGGTGCAGTTAATATTATACCAACAAGGTCGCTGAGACGAGAATGCCGATACAGAGGAGGCAGGTATCTTCTTAGCCTCCTCGTGCTTGCCTTGCTTGGTGTACATCGATGCGAGAGCTGCCATGCTCCGGATCGTATCTGGATGTTTATCCCCAACCACTTCTCGCTGTAGGCTAATGACTTCGATATACCTCTTCTCGGCCTTATCGTGCTTGCCTTGCTTGGCGTATATCGATGCGAGA